GATGCTAATTTTCGGGAGTTGAGCGCAGAAGCCTCTGATGATGAAGTTAAAATGTATGCACAGGCATGCATACTGCAGCTGATAGGAGGGTTGCTGATTCTAGACAAATCGCGCAACCAAGTTTACTGTATGTGGTTGCAACATCTTGGTGACTTTCATCTGGCTGGATCACTCAGTTGGGGCTCGGCAGTTTTGGCTTTCCTGTATAGAGAGATGTGTCGAGCGACTGACTACAGAAAAAATGCTATCGGCGGATGTCACCTGCTGCTGCAGTTTGGGCATGGTATCGATTGCCCTTTTTATGTCCCGTTGTCAAGAACCCATTCGTATTTCCACTACTATTGAGGTAATTATAAAACTGATTTCGTATATTAATAATTTTATACATTATAATAATTTTTTTCCTTGAATAGGTGGTATACTGATAGGAAAAATCATCAGGAGCTACCTGATGATTTAGAAAAAATTAGGGTGTTAATCGATGAGAAGGCTGGCACACAGGTATGCATTTTAAATTTTAAAAATCGATTTTAGATTATAGTTATATAATTTGATTATTATTTTGATAAAAATTATATGTTTTTGTTTTAGTTTGAATGGATGTCATATTCTAATGATGATGTGAGGATGGTGATCTCACCTAAGTTGAGAGGCCCATCAGATGTTTGGATGGCAATGGTCCATTTGATCTGTTATGCAATCGTCGAGTGGCACTCTACTGATCGCGTGCTCCGGCAAATTGGTTGTTTTCAACCAATTCCGAAAGCACCTCGCAATATGGACGAGTTGCATAGCACAGATCGACGCGGCAAGACAGATACATATTGGCTAGTGAGGCATCATGAGTGGGTCGTGTTGTGGGAGGATCGACATCAATGCCTTCCCCGTAGAGAGCCCCTTTTTTATGACCTCTTGATGGTTGCTGACGGTTATTATGACTGGTTCAACAGTAACGGGAAAATGTTTCTATTTCCCGAGAATGCACGAGGGCAGACCTTTCAGCGATGTCGACAGAGACATTCACTGACACAACACCATCGTCCCCCGACTCATGGACGGAGAGCATGTGCTTCCAGTTCGTCCTCAAATACACCAGCAGGACCTTCACAGCAACACCGTCTCCAACGACTTACATACCGCAACCATATATGATGCTGCCACCGCCATTCCCTTACCCGATGCAGCCGCCACCACCTTCACCTGGTTTTATGACCCTGCCGCCGTCACAGAGTTTTATGACCCCTCCTGAAGTATATTATGGGTCTATGTTTGCAAATCCTACTTGGGGTTCATATGCTGGATATTTGGTGGGTGTAGCCTCATCACCTATGGTCGCAGCATAGACACCTCATGTACAGTTTTCACACTTGGCGATGTCTAGGTTTTATGAGTTTTCCCAGTTTTCGCAGGCCGGTGGGATAGTCAGTCATACACCTCCAGGATCCTTATTCTATGGAGGTGCTGGAAGTGCTTCATCGTCATCAGCTCCTCCTCAATAAAATGTAGATGCTCAACACGACGACGATGATGGTGATGATGATGACAGTGAGGAGTCACAACCAGTGATACAAAGAAATCCTCCTCGAGACTGACATCCACCGTCTTGCAAAACACACTCGCGTCACAGGCATCGATAGATTTTATTTTTTTATTATATTTGTATTTAGTTGTTTATTGGACTTTTTATTGTATTTTTTAATTTTTACTATTTAATACTTACTTTTTTCGTTAATGTGGTTGGATTTATTTTAATTTATTTTGTTAAATTTGTTATATAGTTTTGTTAATGTATTTTGGTTAATTTTGTTTATTACCATTTAAAATCAGTTATTGTTATTTGGTTATCATTTACCATTTAATACTTCTGAATCAACAATATTTTTTCAAATAATATTTTGGTTAGTGTAATATTTTTTCAAATAATCATAATAAACAATAAGTATAAAAAAAATTATAACAAAATTACCTTATAACAAAAAATCACACGAACTTCTTAATCAAATATGAGAAAATTATTAGAATTATTGACTCGTTGACAGAATTGTTGTATTAAATTATAAGTTGAGATGGGAGATGTGAGGAGTTTACCGGGGGAGAAGGGTATTTAGCCGAAAAAAGTTGCTATAATTATACAATGCGCTGTATCAGTTAAAGTTAAGGTGCGATCCCTGTCCCGCGCTATATATAATTGAATTAAAGGTAATGTGCGACTCCTGCTCCACGCTATTGTCCTACTTGGCGTAAGACGTGCCTAGGGACCGCGCTTTACACACGTGTAATCAATATCAGCGTAAGGTGCGCTTTAGGCAACGCATCTTACCCACGTGACGCCAGATCAACGTAAAACGTATCGTAAGGGTTCGTCTTACTGTAAAGGTGTAAACCCGCCAAGCAATTAGAGCCTTACCTTAACGCCACATCACATTCTATCCACGTGTCAAAATCTCCATCTATGCACCGTTTCTCAAAATTTCGTCTTATCCACTCTCTGAATGGTCCCCGCTACTTCACGCGTGTCGCCGGCTGCGGTTCCTTCTTTACCCGTATATATTCTCCGGGAAAGTTGTTTATCCGGGCGAACATGTAGCTCTGCCTCTGCAACGTCAACCGTCTCGATTTTCAGAACTGAACTCCTGAATTTTTCTAGCCATGGTTCCGTACCCCACCACAAATTTCAAAGGCTTTCCCCTTCTCCCCCTATGTGAGCTTTTTTTTCCTTTTTGGATTTGTGCCGTACTTTTTAGAGATTTGATCACTTCTGTTTTTTTGGATAATTATTTAGGAAAATGGATTCTAAATCGTTCGAAAATGTGAAAAAGGAAGAGCTCTCGATACAGCTACAACCGTCGTCAGTTCCCCAGCTCGAAAATCCGAGACCCTCTAATCTCAGGTTCGACCGGCTGCAACCTTAGGATCAGGAGCTGAATCAAGATCACAGATTAGAATTCGGAAGATTTGTTGCACGGGAGGCAGCTCTTTATGAAGAATTCTGGGTACACCCACTTTTAAAATTGAATTCTTTTTTATTCGCTTTTATTTGATCAAAAATATCCTTTTTATATAATTTGTTTTTATTTTATAGACAGCAGCATGGCTGAGAGCAGAAACTCACTGGGAGCGTCGAGTAGGCGAAAGGTAAGGGTTAAATTTTTCAACTTTTTCCATATATTTTTTTTGAAGTAAATGGGAATACACTTGTTTTTTTGTTTTTTGTTTTTTTTTTGGGGTGGAGGGACTTATCTAAAGAAACTAATCATGGAGAGATAATGATGAAGGGTAGTAGCTCTTTTATGCAAAGAAACAAAATGTTTGACCTAATTATGAAAACATGTAATTAGTGTTGAATTAATTGTTTCAAAGTTTACTGCTAAAAATCTTGACCTAACCATAGATCTGATTCGATTCCCACTCCTCTTAGTGAATGCAGCATTCTCTCGATGATTTTCTTTTTCGCTAATGTGTATGCGTGGATAAGCACTGATTTTGGCCATTCCTGATTATACAGATATGTCGATAACTTCAAAAGGCAATTCGCCGAGCAGGTAGGAGAGAATAGTGTAATTCTCATTGTTTCTCATAAATGCATGTGGAATTTGGTTACATTTTTACTTGGAAAGTTTCCTTTGTAGGAGTTCAATGCCATAAAAAGGCGATACAGAGGGCAACAAGGGCAGACATATACGTGTTGTCACGGTATGATGTTCTTACAGGACATCTTTTCCCAGATTCTTATTGCTTTTTATGTGTTTCTTATCACTTTTGGGTAAGGTTTAATATAGAGCTCTGTTTCTCTTCGTTACTGGGATACATACGGTTCCGATGTTATATTGTTGTTTTCTTTAGATGAGAATCTTAACAATTCTTCAATGTCGGATTCTCAGGTTAGGAAGGAGGAGAGGAATGTCAAGCGCACGGTGCTTAAAAGTGTGTTGGAACCCTTGATTTGAGCATTCGGCATTTGTTGCATGGAGAGTCTTTTCCCGGGGTATGGGGCACATTCTTTTGTACTCAAACTGCTATTTTCTTTCATTTGATATAGGTAAATAGGTTGTGTTAAGATAATTGTGAATCTGACCTCTTGCAGGAACGTGAAAAGCATATGTTCTGCAGCATCAGCAGAACAAACCTGAATAAATATGTTTATGTTTCCAACTTATGTGTAGCAAAATCAGCTCGTCGACAAAGCATTGCTAGCAATATGTTGTATTTTGTTGTCGAATCAGCGAGATCAAAGGGTAAAAAGTTATAAACTTTTCCTGTAGAAGCACCTCATCTTATGCAATAAGTGGAGAAAATGCCTTTCTAAATAAGTCATTTGGTTGCAGGTGTGGAACCGGTTTATGTGCATGTTCATAGAAACAATGAACCCGCTCTTGAACTGTATCAGAAGATTGGTTTCGAGGTAATACTATTTAGTCCACTCAAATTTTAATCTATGATTTCATTCAATGCTCTTCGGTTTTCACACGGTACTGATATATAAGTATATATTGCATTGATCATCAGATGGTTGAAATGGCAAACTCACTATTATTAAAGCAGCAGATGTACTTGCTTCGTTACAAGACATGAATTTCTGTTGAAACATAAATTCATAGTTCTTTTTCTATTTTTGAATGAAAGTAAACCCTTTACATACAGCTTTGTAATCTTGTGCGGATTTGAGGGAGGGGAAATATTAGGATTTAGTCCCCAAAAATGTAATCCCCAGCCATTACTGCTCAGGGGAGTTTATGTTTCCAAATCAAAAATTGTAAATGCCATTTTTATTCTTCCTTTTTTATTCTTTGATGTCAAAAACACTGAATTTTATTGTATTATATTTCTGACAGGCCTAGTACAGGTCCGGTCGTCTATTCTCTTGTTTCAAGTTGTTGCCCTTTTCACAAGATTCAAATTAATGGTTTGATTGGCACAGTGTAGAACCCTTACTCTGCAATGGAGTACAAGATTGTTACATTTCTCAAAACATGAATGATCGAACTGGTTAGGCAGGTATTCAGCAAAAACAGCATCACAGGATGACAAAAAATGCCCATGTTCTTCGGACATCAAACTGTAGTACTACACAAGTAAACTCTGGTATGGCTATGGCTGGTCATGGACACCCAAATCATATTGAAGATGACACAGAAGAGGTACTGCAACAGACTCTCAACTGGTGCTTATATGTGTTCCAAAAGTGGAGACAACTTCAAACCAATGATTTCTACCTTGGCATTAGAGTGACCATATAGAAAGACGTCTGTAATCTGCAAAGAAAGCACCAAGACAACATAAAATGATTAATGTCGGGCAAATAGTTATGAAGGTCTGCGGATGATTCACGGTGCATGTTCACAAGAATGGAGAGAAATAATAGGTCTTGGAAAAGGTAACAGTTGCCCATGCCTAAAGGTGGGTCTAATCAGGCAAAAGTACCTGAGTGCATCCAAACAGTTTAAGCACCCTCAGCGATAGACAGCTATCTACGATCAATCCCATAGCTTCATCAGTCAGATTTCGGCACCACGATAGATCCAAACTAACCAAATTTCTTGAGCGTCTTGCAAGTGATAAGGCTGTATTATGACCTACCTAAGAAAAGTTCATCCATTTATAAGAAAGTAAAATAATAAAGTTCATCCATTTAAGGAAGGTAGAATAATACCATTAAATGAAAACAAGCAAAAAGCCATAAGAATTGTTTTTTACTTCACTCCCCCCGGTGTAGGTGGGGAGTTATTGTGTGTGCATGTCTAAGCATATGTGTGAAAGGAGAGGCATAAATTGAGTACCTTCCCAACATTGTTCAGTGCCAGCTCTTTCAAAACCTCCCCAGAAATTTCAAGAAATGCTCCTATGGCATCATCACTATTGCATAAAAGGAGAAAAGAGTGAATTTACATATAATATAACAGATATCAGATTAATAATGTAAGAAAGAAATGAAATCCAATGCGCCACATTGGAATAAAATACCCCAATGTGTTGAGTACAACTACCACACAATGTCAACTACAAGGAATCGACTAGCAAAACATAATAGACAAGACCGCAGCATATAGCTTATATGCCATAGTAACCCCAGCCAGAAGTCATGGTAAATACCTGAATGTGTTGCGGCAGAGTTTCAACAACTCCAGTGATCGACAACCACTGGCCAGGTAACCAAGAGAGTTGTCTGTCAGTTTGGGTACATTACCAATGTCAAGTGATCGTAAACTTGAACAGGTTTCCGCAATGATTTTCAAGGAAGAATCAGTTAACTTCCTGAGAGAAAATACAGGCATCCAACTTATTAAATGATTAAAAGAAACTCAAATCCAAGGAGCTCCAGAAGATTTTAAATATGCATAAAGTGTCAAGTAAGCATACCCACAACCCGACAGAATCAGTTCCTTCATACCATCACCTCTTGCGGTAATAATTTCCTTGATAAATTTATCCGTAACAGATTCCAACCCTGCTACTGACAACACTTTCAAACGCTCCAGCTTTTTCAATGACGGAAGCATCAGCATGGCATCAATACTTTGGCAATCATTGATAAATAGTTCTAGTAGAACCGATGCCAAGGAGGAAGCCAAAATCTCAATAGCACCGTGGGTAAGAAATGAACACTGGCTGAGGTTTACAGATCTTAGTGCAGGTGCAGAAGAAACAAGAACACTTAACCCAGCATCTGAAAGACGATATGCACCAGTCAATGACAAAGTAGTTAATGCAGGCAAGCTGTTTAGAGACCGAGCTAAGGTAGAAGGTATGTTATAATCCGCCAAGCACTGTCCACAGTAATCAAGTTGGAGAACCTGAATTCACAAAGTTACAACATTTACATTATCCATAAAGAACTATCAGGAAATGGATTAATAGCAATAACCCTCCAGTAAATATAGATGAATATGAAATTCCATCACAAAATACTAAGCTTTCCACCAATACCCCTCCAGATTATCTATGAAATATAGCCTATGAACCAAAGCAATAAATAAACAGCCTACCGTACCGTCAAGTTAGAAGTGTCACACTTTACAAAACATTCAGAAAACTGATCCTCAGTTAACCAAGAGCATTCCCTCAAGCGAATTTCAGTAGGGGATCCACTAAGAAGGAGATCCAGAAGGTTACTATTCATTTGCCTCGAGTCACAGAGCATTTGACAGAGTTTGTGTCTCATGGCATCCGGGACATGATCAAGGGAAGCAATTGCATCCGCGTTATCGACAAGAACCCTTAGGCTTAAATCAAGCAACGATGGAGGCAACCGCTTTGACCCGTCTTTTCCTTTACCCTTTTGAGGAACCCATTTGATTTGCACGGACGGTACCTGGTCCGAGGAAGAACTCCCCTGTCGTACGTTCAAATTCGCTGTTCTATCTCTTATAATCTTCATAGCAGTAGAGAAAGGACCAGGCCAATCTTCAACCACCTTTTCTTCAATATGTTCTTCTACGGACGGAATTTCCCTTTCAGCCTCGACTGATAAGTTGTTATTGTTTTCTTCTTCCTCCTCCCGGGTGTTGAAATACGCAAATCGAGAAGCATTTCGCCTAGCCGCATCCCGAAACCGCTCCATTCTCCCCCCACTTGTTCTCCTGTTACTCCTTTTACTTAGCTTTTCATCTGGCGATTTCACTTCCTCCGCAGGAAGTTCAACGTCGGAAAATGAAACGTCGACTAAACTCTCATCTTCAGATTCCAAATCAGTTTCGACAACCAATTTCCCCTTTCCTTTCTCTTCTCTACTAAATCTCCTTTTTCTGTTCACGTTTTCTATCTCATCTTTCCTTTCCGATTTCTCAATATACTCACTCTCTGCTATGCTTTTACCTTTCATGTAACTTTCAACCACTTCATTACCTCCGCCGCCGCCGTTGACGTCGCCGTCTCCCAATGGACTCCTCTTGTAACCTTTTTCCCCGACCCAAACTCAATACTCTACTCCCCACGCTCTCAAAATCACCATCAACATCCCCACTCAACTTCCTTTTTTTCGAAACGTCCCCGTTTCGACTTCCGATGCTTTTCTCCACAGCGGGAAGACCAAACTGATCATCGGCATTTGAGGAACCTTTCGAATAAAGACGAAGACTCCGCCGAAGTGAGAAGGGTGCGGAACCGTAGACAGAACCGTCGGTTTTAGGGGAGGGAGTAAGCGACGGCGGCGATGAAAGACGAGTGGCGGGTTGTTCGCGGCCTTGAGTGGGAGTGGATGGTGGGTCGACGTTGTACCGAGCTTTCCGGGGATTAGGCGGGACCGGAGGGATTTCGCGGGATCTTAGGACCGGCATCGTCACTGGTGAAAAGAATGGCGGGAAGTTAAACCAACAGATATCGACGAAGTCGCCTCTTTTTAGCGCTAAGGCGTTGTAATAACTATCAATATAAATTTAGGGTTTTTTGTAAGAGAGAAGCTTCTCGCGTACGATTGATTTTCCCGCCCAAATAAAAAGTGTCCCTACATTTGCAGGCCTCAATCTCAACTCTTGTTTTATTCGTTTTTGGCCCAAATGCTAAAGGAAATTTTAAATAATGAGAAAAAAATTATGATAACAATTGATGATAATTACTTTACTTTTTTAAGTGTGTTTATTATTTGATTTTAATCAAATTAATTGAATGAAAATAAATTTAAATTGATTAATTGATCATATAATTAAATATTAAATTCATTAATGATTTGAAAACTATTCATAATTTAAAACCTATAGTAGAATTAATCTTTAAAATATAAAATCTTCTAGTGAAAAATATTTTAAAATTAGTCACATGCAATGATTTGAAAAAATTTATATGTACTTTCCACCGAGTCAAATTCGGTGGCTGGGCCGCCGCTGCCAGCCTGACAGTACGGTAGTTACATATTTTATCTCAAAAGTATATGCTAAAAGTGTTATGGAAAATAAATAAATTATCGGAAGTTGTAAAATATTAACTAATAATTAATTGTTTTAATATAATAAGATATTAAATTTTATAATTAAAATTATAAATTTAAATTTTATGTTTTAAATAGAATAAATTAATTTAATATAAATGTTTATGTAATAGACTTTTACAATATATTTTTTGGAGAAAATTTTTACAATATTCGATATATGAATTTAACTTTAAAATTTAATTATATATCTAAATTTTGCATCCAATTAAATGTCTGGTTTTTTATTTAAATTAATACTTAAATTTGACTATTTTATCCAAACTAGTGTACTTTTGTTAAATAATTCATTTAAATTAGATACTAATTTAAACTGAAAATCCAAATTTAGATATCTAATTAAAGAAAATCTTTTTTAAGTACCAAATTGAATACTAAAACCAAATTTATATACCAAAATATATATTTACCCTAGATTAACATAACTAAATATATCATTCATTTTGGCGTTTTTTCAAAAAAAATCACCAGTGACCGGTATATTTACCGATCTAACATCGGTCAGACTATATTTCTCGATCTAACACCCTTTGCAGTAAGGTGCGCCCCTGTAGCGCGTTATACGTTGATTTGACGTCACGGGATAAGGCGTGCGCCCTAAATCCTTATGCTGACATGGATTACACGTGGGTATGGCGGAGATAGGTTAGTAATTAAGGGTATAGCGCGCCGCAGGGGCCGCGCCTTACCTGTGATTCTGACACGCGTCAGAAATATGCGGCCCATGCGGCGCGCTATACCCTTAATTATCAACCTACCCCGCCCGTTCACACCCATACATCCCTATAAATACCCTCATTCTCAATCACTTTCATCACATCAAATCCTCTCAACTTCTCTCAAATACTCTTTTATTATCTTATTAAGGTATATTTTATTATATTTAGTATTTTTAGTAATTTATTTAATTATTTTAATTGTTAAATATTTTATTTAATTAATTTTTTTTGTATATATAAAATGGAAGGCGGTCTACTTTGGTTGGATGGAAATCATATATCTCGACACTTTGTTGATACAGTAACATTTTAACGTTTTAATTTAATTAATTAATTTATTTAATGCATGATTATTAGTTTAAAAATTAATTTGTGTAATTATTTATATTTTAGGAGAGAGACCGTATATTAGATCATTTTATTATGAACCTTAAGTTAGTTATACCTACTCGTGTAATGTCGTATTTAGTAGAGGCTGGATTCGGTCACCTAGGTAGATATCAGAGTCACTGTAAGATAGAACCAGACCTTATTTCAGCCTTAGTAGAGCGGTGTAGACCGGAGACCCACACATTTCATCTTCCGTGCGGAGAGTGGATGATCACGCTTGAGGATGTTTCTATGCACCTGGGGCTTCCGGTGGATGGAGGTGTGATATCAGGGATAGCTTCTGGTTCTTGGACTACTTTGTGTCGGCTTAGTCTAGACGTGTCCCGAAAAATTTTAACAATGGACGGATACCGTTAAATTGGTTAGATGCCAAATTTCAGGAGTTAAACGAGGACACGTATGACGATGAAGTTAAACAGTATGCACGGGCATGCATACTGCAGCTGATAGGAGGGTTGTTGATGCTGGACAAATCGCGCAACCAAGTTCACCGTATGTGGTTGCAACATCTTGGCGACTTTCATCTGGCTGGATCACTCAGTTGGGGCTCGACAGTTTTGGCTTGCCTGTACATGGAGATGTGTCGAGCCATTGACTATAGGCGTAATGCTATCGGTGGATGTCTCCTGCTGCTGCAGTATTGGACATGATATCGATTGCCCTTTTTATGTCCCGTTGTCAAGAACCCATTCGTATTTCCGCTACTTCTGAGATAATTATAAAACTGATTTTGTATATTAATAATTTTATACAGTGAATAAGAAATTGTTTTTCTTTAATAGGTGGTCTACTGATAGGAAAAATCATCAGGAGCTACCTGATGATTTAGAAAAAATTAGGGTGTTAATCGATCAGAAGGTTGACACATATGTATGAATTTTAATGTTTACAAATCGATTTTAGATTATAGTTATATAATTAGATTATTATTTTGATAAAAATTATATATATTTATTTTAGTTTGAATGGGTGTCATATTCTACTGATGATGTGAGGGCGGTGATCCCACCTGAGTTGAGGGGCCTATAAGATGTTTGGATGGCGATGGTCCCCTTGATCTGTTATGCGACCGTCGAGTGGCACTCCGCTGATCGCGTGCTCCGACAATTTGGTTGTTTTCAACCAATTCCAGAAGCACCTCGCAATATGGACGAGCTGTATAGCATAGATAGACGCGGCAAGACAGATACAGATTGGCTGGTGAGGCATCATACGAGGGTCGTATTGTGGGAGGATCGACATCGGTATCTTCCCCATAGAGAGCCCATTTTTGATGACCTCTTGATGGTTGCTGACGGTTATTACGAGTGGTTCAACAGTAACAGTAAACCGTTTTTGCTTCCCGAGGATGCACGATGACAGACCTTTCCACGACGTCAACAAAGACGTTCAACGACACAACACCATCGTCCCCGACTCATGGACGGAGAGCAGGTGCTTCCGGTTCATCCTCATCTGCACCAGCAGGACATTCACAGAAGCCACCGTATCCAATGACTTACATACCACAACCATATATGATGCCGTTACCGTCTTTCCATTACCAGATGTCGTCGCCGTCGCCTTCGCCTGCTTTTATGATCCCGCCGTCGCCACCGCTACAGATGACCCCTCCTGAAGGCTATTATGGGTTTATGTTTATAGATCCGACTTGGGGTTCATATGTTAGATATTTGGTGGGTTCAGTCTCATCACCCATGGCTGCAGCACATACACCTCCTAGAGGTCGCGACAACTCTGTGACACGAAACATTTCATGCCTTCTAGAGAAGCTTATTACATACATTCCATTTGATGCAGAAATTTTTTTTCTATAGATCTGCAACTAATCTAGGGTGATAGACATGACTGCCTTGTATTCAGGTTTGAGCTTGTCCCCCGAGCTTCGCAAAAAATGCCCCCAAACAAAAATATGTAGTCTTTAACAAAGCTGCTACTGGTAAGTGACGTGCACCCTTTAAAGTTGAATTGATTACCTCTGCCAAGTTGGTCTTCATGTGTCCATATCGATATCCATCATCATATGTGTTCGTCCACATTTCTTTATCGATGAGGCTGATGTAATCGTATCTTTTCTCGTTCTTCACCCGCAAATCTTGAAGCATTGATTCAAACGTTCGAGGAAGTAGTTCGTAACCTGATCAAAAATGTATAACTTACTAACTTGTTTTCTTTGCAAAATTAAAACGATCGAAAGAAAACAAACTACATCAGTTTCACTTACCCATACGCACAATTAATTGACGCTCATCATTCTTCTTGTACATTCCATGGTAGTTCGCAGTAATTTGTCGGAGATAATACTTATGTTGGACAAATGGTGGTTGCCACATTGGACCCAAAGACTCCATTGCTGCTTTGATCCCAGCTCCGCGATCTGAAATGACACAAATGTTTTCCCTAGTTATAACACGTGCACGTAAATTTCGGAGGAAAAAACCCAAGAATATGTATCTTCTCCTTCGACAAGAGAAAAAGCACTGGAAGAATGTTGCGATTGCCATATTGGACAACTGCCAATAATAAAACTTGCTTATATTTTCCATACAAGAAAGTCATGTCGATCTGGAGCACATGCTTGCAGTATTTGATAACAATAACGCACTCTGGGTAAGTCCAAAAAACCTGGTAGAATTGGCATCGATCGCGAAGAACTCGATCATTATGGTATGCGTATGAGGTTTCGAAGTCCACAATTGTCCCAGGATTCAACCTTTGCACCAGCCTAGAAGTTCGTTGTAAGATGCATCACATTCGCCATGAAGTTTGACAATGGCATTTTGTTTTGCCAACCAAGCTTTTTTATAGGAGGCAATGTACCCATACTGCGATTGTATAGCTGAAATCAACACAGCAACAGCTATATGAGAGCTTGCTTTTACCATGGGCATGATGGCTTGACATATCACTTCAGAGTCCAAGTTGGGATGATCTTGGTTGACCCCTCCAGCACAACATGTGTGAGGACCGTTGTATATTGTTAGTTCCCATCTGTTGTTTTTCCTCTTCTTTTTCGATACGTGAACCATCCAATTACATCCGTTTTCACGTTGTGCACAGTAGCATACATATTTTTCTGTCGTGGAGAGATCGACTCTCGATTGAACAAAATTACGGATATTATAATTTTTTATAGCCATCACCGCTTCTTCTTTGCTTGAAAACTCCATGCCTAAATATAACTCACCATTATTTATTGATGAGTAATATCCATAGTCACCGAGATGAGGCATATCCGCAAATTCTGTCACATACATTGTACCATAATCAGCATCATACATGTGTGCTGGAGGGTCAGTTTGTGTCATATTTACTGGAACTTCATCTACATCATCATCATCATCGGAGTTGAATTGCGGTGATTCTGGGTGAATGAATAGTCCAGTCTCAGTACCATCCGTACCAGGCTCACGAAGTGGTTCTTCTGGTGGAGATGGTGGTTCCTCCATACTCTCCACATTTAGGTCGAAGAACCTACTACTTGCACGACTTCCCCTTGAACTGGAAGTCATATCGACATTCAAATCGAAAAAGCTCGTAGTTGAATGCCTCCCCTGGAGCTTGAAGCCATCGTGTCAAATGTAAACTGCACAAATGGTTGCGTCAATGACACCTCCATATTAAGGTCAAACGGATTTACAGATGAATGCCTTCCCCTTGAACTGGACGCGATGTTGCCATACGGATTGTTCGTCGACCCACCTCAGTACATATTTGCGGGTGATTGTCTCCCCATTATGGTATTAAAATCATTACACATTACTGTCGTCGGGCTATCAACTTGATCAACTTGTTCAGCCAGCCCATAGTGGGAGCTTAATGATTGACCTCGAAAAGCACGCACTTGAATAAAATTTGCATACATCTCAATATCGGCATCTTAATAATTACTTTGAGCTTCAACCATTATTTCAACATCATCATTGTTCAAAAGTTCGAACGCTGTATAAGTTAATGACAACAATGATGTTAAGAATCTGTACTGCAACGACGACATTCTTCTACTACTTCCAACATGAATCTTCCTCGAAATCTTCGTTATCAACTCCTCAAGAGTTATGTTTCTCTTCAATGATATTTTAACACTCTCATTTGATACGAAAACAACACTGATTTCATCTTCTCGAATTTCACCATCATAATAAACAATAGTTGAAAGTCACGTTATTCTTTGAGTTTAAAAGTGCGGCAATATTATATTTGTAAAAAAACAATTGAAATAATGTTGATTAAATAAATAATATATGAACGAAAATATAACAGAATAATTTTGTTACACATAAACGTAAATAATTTAAATAATATAATTTTATATTATTACTGTACCACAAAAATATTTCGACGTATATTCTCGCTTTCTAATTTTACAAACACAAAAATTAATTGACAACAATTAGTATAATATTTTTTCAAATAATCATAATAAACAATAAATATAATAAAAAAATATCACAAAATTACCTTATAACGAAAAATTGCACGAACTTCTGAATAAAATATGAGAAAATTATCAGAATTATTGACTCGTTGACGAAATTTTTGTATTAATTTATAAGTTGAGATGAGAGATGTGAGGAACTTAACCCGGGGGAGAAGGTATTTATAGCCGAAAAAAGTTGTAAGAATTATACAAGGCGCGATACCTGTCGCGCGCTATATATAATTATAAAGGTCAGGCGCGGCCCTAACCCACGCTATGCCCTACGTGACGTAAGGCGCGCCCCAGGAACCGCACTATACCCACATGTAATCCATGTCAGCATAAGGCGCGTCGCAGGTGTACGCCTTACCCCACGTGACGCCAAATCAACGTATAGCGCGCTGCAGGGGCGCACCTTACTGTAAAGGTGTTAGATTGAGAAATATAATCTGACCGATGTTAGATCATAAATATACTGGTGACTAGAGATTTTTTTTATAAAAAAAACGCCCTTCATTTTGGGGTAAATTGAAATTGAAAAAGAAGGTCAAAACGAACCATCTAATTTTCATAGATAAACGACAAAGGCAGACACGACTATAAATGCAGAGGCCAACACCTAGCTGTGCCCTGTCGTCACTCGCTTGCACACGCTCTTTAGAAATTTTCTGATTTTCTCACTGATTTCACTTTCACAACCCACAAAAAAATCCCAGACACCCCCAGGAAATCTCCATCTCTTTCTCTTTGGTTTTCCATGCTTTGTTTTCATTAATGGAGGTTCAATAAAAAAAACTCAGCCTGATTGCTTTTTATTACTTAACTGAGACCAATAAATACGAAGTGTGCCGGGAGTAGTAAAAGTTTAATATGGGTCACCACACGCACCATAACCACCACCACAACACCGCCACCGATGGCGTTTCACAGCGAGATTACAGCCCACGTTTATCGGGTCCAATGACTCGGCGAGCTCACTCGTTCAAGCGCATCAATAACAGCAACAACGGAAGTAGCAGTACCAACAATACTTTGAGCGTGCATCATGAGATTGATCTGCCGTTAAACTCACCCAGATCGGAGGTTGGAGCTGTGGGTTCGGTTTCGATCGATGGGTTGAGCCAAAGGAAAGGGTTGTTGAAGAAACAGAGTGTCGGATCCATGGTTTTGGATTTTGGGTTGAAAGAAAGGAAGAGGCTTGGGCATTGGATGTTCTTGGTTTTCTGTGGGTTTTGTTTGTTTTTGGGTGTTTTCAAGATTTGTGCTACTGGTTGGTTTAGATCTGCCATCGAAACCGCTACATCAGACCAGGTATTTATGAATTTTATGTGGCTTTCTATTGTCATAGCTGTTTATGATTATGAGCTTACTTGCACTTGTATTTAATGTTGATGGATCGATGTGACAAGTGTTGATTATTTTTGGAGACTGTTAGGTTCATTTAATTATCTTGCTTGGGAAATTAATGGCTGATCATCTGGTGTAATTCTTGCCATATTTATGCGTACAAGCATAAACTAGGGAGTAAGCATATTAATGGCTATATTTGCAATCAAATACAATATAAAGTTTCTCCGAAATGTCGATATTTGGATAAAAGCATGTATCCCAAAGCATAAGATATGTTCCAATGCAGATAAATTGTGGGAATTTGTTTATAGTTTTTCCTTAATGTGATATGTCTATCGTTGTAATTAGGGGTTATCTGATTCCTCCACCAATGGACTAGGGTTAATGGATCAAGGCTATCATGACTATGGATACAGGGATGGAGGAAGTGATTCAGATCGAACTCTAATGACATTGATATCGGAGATAACTGATGTGAGTTTAAAATTGATGTCTCAAATTTATCGCTTTGCGTCTGTTTGTCTGCAGGCTGAACATGTCGATTACAAAGAAACTTAAAGAGTTGATTATTCTGATTATCGATTATCGAAAAGAATGTTCATATTTTTTTCATTTCTAACCCAGCGTTCAGGTATTTGGTCTCAACCAAATAGTAAGAATTTCACGCAGTGCATCGACCACTCAAAGAATCAAAAAAGTACGGAAGTCTTACGTCTCTGTTAACTTTTTTTCTTTACATTTTATGTGTTTTTATGTTCACAGGCATATCGATGTTTTTGTTTGTTGCCAACTTGCAATCAATTTCTACGTTTTTGCTTGTTCTAAGCTTCTGATTGCTGCTTTCTTGGCAGAGCTAGATGCAAAGACAAATGGCTACATTCTCTTAAATGCTAACGGCGGTTTGAATCAGATGAGATTTGGGGTCTGTTTGTTGTGTGTTTCTCATTGTATTTTTATAGCCTAACCTTTTATAATTACCATTGTCTGATGCATCAATAATTTTAGAACGCAGATATGTGATATGGTTGCTGCTGCTAAGGTTATGAAAGCAACACTAGTCCTTCCCTCACTCGATCACACCTCATACTGGGCTGATGAAAGGTTAGTTTTTTTGTATACTGCGCTAATGTCCAAATTGCCTGTTTTGAATGCTGAACATGCTTAAAATAGCTTGCATTTACAATAAGGCTTTCTTCTTGTGCCCTTAAGTAACTTACATCTCATGCTATTAACATATTGCTAACTTATGAATTATGGTTATTCCTTAGATTGACATTCTTGAAATCTGTTATTGGGTAGCATGCACTCTAGCTGTACATGTATCATGTAGCTTGAGCTAATGGATTGTTTGATATATTTGCAGTGGCTTTAAAGATCTGTTTGACTGGCTGCATTTCATTGAGACCCTGAAGGATTATGTCCATATAGTTGAGACAATACCGCCCGAGTATGCTGGAATTGAACCTTTCAACAAAACACCTATATCTTGGTCTAAGGCTAGTATAAACTTATCTTTTTCATTTCCAAATGTCTATACAGAAACTGCAAAACGCACTTATCTTTTCCATGACTTTTCAAGTGGATTTGCTTCGGTCGAACCGTATCTTATGAGATAAATGTATGTAATTTACTAGTACCTTAGATTTCAGAGTAACTTATATAATTTTGTTTAGGTTAGCTATTACAAGTCAGAAGTCCGACCATTGTTGAAGAAGCATAAAGTAATCTATTTTACTCACACTGATTCTCGGCTTGCTAATAATGATATCCCAAGCTCCATACAAAGGCTAAGGTGCCGGGTAAATTATAGGGCACTGAAATATTCAGCTCCAATTGAGAAACTCGGAAAGACTTTGATTTCTAGAATACGCGAGAACGGTGCCCCTTATCTTGCTCTCCATTTGAGGCAAGTAAAAGAAATTTATTTATTTTGCATATCGTTATAGCTTTCCCTTTGCTTCATACTCTTCTTGCTTGGTTTGGCGTGAGGTTTGTGTAGTCGAGGCTGATATGTTCTTGCTTTTATTTTTTTTACTTTGTAGATACGAAAAGGATATGCTTGCATTTACTGGCTGTAGTCATAGCTTGACAGCCGAAGAAGATGACGAGCTACGGAGGATGCGTTATGAAGTTGGTCATTGGAAGGAGAAAGAGATTAACGGAACAGAAAGAAGATTGCTTGGTGGTTGTCCAGTAACTCCTAGGGAGACTTCCCTCTTGCTCAGAGCATTGGGGTTTCCATCAAGCACTCGAATTTACTTGGTAGCTGGTGAAGCTTATGGAAATGGAAGTATGGAGCCTCTTGAGGAGGATTTTCCTAATATCTTCTCCCATTCCTCCCTATCTACGGACAAGGAGTTGAAACCTTTCAAGAATCACCAGAACATGTTGGCTGGTTTAGACTATATTGTCGCCCGCAAGAGTGATGTATTTGTTTATACGTATGATGGAAATATGGCAAAGGCAGTTCAAGGACATAGGCGATTTGAGAACTTCAAGAAGACTATCAACCCTGACAGGTAATATTCTACCATTGTTTTCTTGAATGAATGCCTTATATCGTTGCCATTTCCGGAGCAAAATATTTATGAAGAATCATCATTCCGTTGGTGCAGGTTGAATTTTGTAAAACTTGTTGATGATTATGATGATGGAAATATTTCTTGGAAGGAATTCAGTTCCAAAGTGAAAAAGCTTCATGAAAATCGAATCGGAGCTCCCTATCTTAGAGAGCCTGGGGAGTTTCCAAAACTGGAGGAGAGTTTCTATGCAAATCCGCTTCCAGGATGCATCTGTGAAAGAACAGAAGAAATATAGAAGGCTAAAACACAGCTTCTGCAATTTTATATTGATGCCATGAAGTAAAAGGCTCGACTGAAAACGACTACTCAATTCAGTTGACAAATGCCTGGTCGAGGCAGAAAATCCCTGGATTGCTTGTAAACTAACACGTTAATTCTTCATGATTCATCCATGGAGATCTTAGATAAGCCACAGCAGATTCATACGATTCTCAAGAGATACAGATGAAAGATACATTCATCAGGTGGAGTCTGATTATGATATCCTTTCCTATCCACCAAACTACCTCTGAGAAAGACTAATTTATTATTTTTTATCAGAAACCACTTGGTTTAGATTATGGTTGTGAGAGGGGATTCTGATTGAATTGTATCCACCTAACTATCCTGCTTATAACAAAACCATGACCTACAACAGCAGCATAAACAAAACCAACTTAATTTAATCTTTATTTCTGATTAATGAAATAAAACTACTGGAAGACAAATCAGACAGGTCATATATGGAGGGCATTCATTGGTCTACAACTGCAAAATAGAGTCCACAAGATCAGACAGAGGTGCAAGTTCTCCTTTGTTGATCAACCGGAACTCCTGCATAAAATGACAATGTTTCAGATATGGAGGCACCCCATAATCAAATATCATAAGCACATGGGACTTTGGAAAAGCAAAAACTTACCAAAGTGAACAGAACAAAATGCTTAAAGCAAGTATTCAAATGAACTTCTTCTTTCAAACTCACAATCTTCTGAAAATGTGAGTGGTAAATGTGTGCATACACTCTGAACAATCTCTTAAATATCGTCTTAACGACATCTTGAAAATCTGGTGGAAATGGTGTCCCTGTATGAAAAAAGCTTCCGTTAAGTTCAGATCATGATTACATGGTAGTTTACTTGGTTACTAACCCAGTTTTTGTGGGAAAATTGTTTCATCATCCAGCTGAGCTTCAATCCAGTTCATCAGATACTCGATATATTTAGGAGCTGACACCTCTATAGGCTTCTTTATAGTAACCCCATCAGCGCACCTATACTCGTATCTGTCGACATCGACCATCGATGAGTGATTTAAGTTCAATTCTCAAGCAAACTATAACAACTGATCTTATGTGCATCATACCTTGATCCGGCTGACATAGTTGGACAGTTGTTTGAAGTGCAGAACTCAGTTAGTGTACCGTACAAGATGTTCACTTGATTGAAGAAATCAACAGCTGCATGAGAGAAGGAAATGAAGAGGAAATCAGTTCCAGATTATATGAATCTCTAGCAAATAAGATTTTGATTATGATTCTTACTATTCACAGCTAGCCACTCGTTGATATCTTCACCAGGTGGTAGCCTAACAGTTTCTCTCAAGTTACCACTACCCAAAGTAGCATCGATATGCCGTTTAAGCTGAGCACCCTGCAAATGCATTTTCATGGAAATTTTCTGCATATCAACTTCATATAGCATTATTCAAAGCACCCGATGACCAAACAAATACCAAATCTAAAAACAACACAAGGTCAAACCTTGCTTCCCGACGGAGCATTCTTCTATGGCCTAAATGTTTTCTGGTTTCTGCATAATTGAAAAGAAAAAAAAGAGATCAGCAGCCCTCATCAGCTTCAATTCATCAGCTAAGTTACCATATATGAAAATCATTTATCATCACGAATCAAAGAATGTGATGATTAAAAGAAAGAAAGAATTACCATAATTCAAAGAAAACACACAGAATCAATAAAACTGGGAGAAAAATGAGATTTGGGTAATTGAAATGATACAAACCTGCTACCGAGGCCGAAGAGACTCATAGAAAATGACGAACTTTGACGTTTCTAGCTGTGGTAAAAACTTAAAACCTGTGTTTATAACAAAAATGGGGGAAACAGAGGATAAAGAAAACAAGAAATCCGTATGGTTTTCTAATATATAAAAAATGGAGAAAAAAGAAAGGCTTTTGGCAATTAAAACGATAAAAAAATACATTAATATATACTAGAAGAAAAGAAGAATGAAGATAAAATGACAGACTGGCAAAGACAGCGAGACTCCGACTCTTAAAGATCAGTTAAAGAACAGAACAGAACAGAGCACAGCCAGAAGCCAGAGCAGACAGGGTCCGGCCCCTGCTTACTTGGCTTATCTTACCTAATTTTTAAATAAGTAAATGAGATAATATATAATTATTAATTATAATTAAATTAAATTTTAGCAAAAAATCACATGAAGTAGGGAAAATTTTGAAGAAATTAATGATGATAAAGTAGTGGTGAGTAAAATTTTACTCGACTCAAAAAATTAATTTTTTTATTTAATTAAATTTTAGCAAAAAATCACATGAAGTAGGGAAAATTTTGAAGAAATTAATGATGATAAAGTAGTAGTGAGTAAAATTTTACTCGACTCAAAAAATTAATTTTTTTTATTTGATTTGACTTTGAATTATAATTTCATAAACTCGACTCGACAAGAAAAAAATTAAGTTTAAATTGAGTATTAAAATGCAACTCAAATAACTCGTAATTTTTAGTAATTAGTGAATTAATTTTTAAATTTAAATCGAGTTCTTCGACTCTATATGATATATGTATATCACATATGAATATATAAATGTGTGTGTGTTTGCATATGATTATAAAAAATCATTTAAATTATAATCAAATATCATAAATATTACAATTAAATTTAAATTGAAACTCGAAAACTCGAGTTGACTCGATTCGATTTTAATTTTATAAACTCGACTCGACTCAAAAAAATTTAAATCAAATTCGAGCTATAAAATAAGACTACTCTATACGATATATGTATACCACATATGAATATATATATATATATATGTGTGTGTGTGTTTGCATATGATTATAAAAAAATCATTTAAATTAGAATTAAATAGTGCCATAATATCATAAATATTACAATTAAATTTAAACTGAAACTCGAAAACTCGAGTTGACTCGACTCGATTTTAATTTTGTAAACTCGACTCGACTAAAAAAATTTAAATCAAATTTGAGCTATAAAATAAGACCTGTCAATTCGAATAACTTAAATTTTTTTTACTCGACTATATTAAACGCTCACCCCTACGATAAAGGGAAGGCCAGGGTGGGGTATTCTTAGTTGTAACGATTTGCTGGATTTTGGATTTGCATATTAATTTCGTAATTAATTTGGATTTGATCCAATAATTTAGTATATATTATGTATTTTAATATTTTATTCGTTATTTATAATCGTGTTTAAAATATTATCGACGTGTCACGTTCGAAATTTATTTATGTAGGAAGAAGCAATGGAGCATAGGTTCCACAACTTGAATGCCAAATATAAATGTGAAAACAACACAGCCACTGCACATCAAAGGCGAGATTGTATCACCAGGAAGGGGTAGTCTGTGTATCCGACCACAGGATCCTGAGTATAAAACGTCTTCCTGATGTACCTATTCAACGGCGCATTAACCTTCAACCTCAAAACCAGGTCCGGATTCGAGATAAAAAGACGTCCATACGATACCAGATCCGCATCGCCCTCGGCCACTGCTTGCATTCCAAGCTCCCTTGTGAATCCACCACTGCACATAAAAGTTCCATCGTAACTCCTCTTCAGAGTCCTCATTAAATAAGCTTCCTCGTCTTCGTTACCATGCTTGCCTTGTTCAGTTTGCCCGTATGCATGATATCGAGGTTGAGTCACGTGAAGGTAAGCGAGTTTCGACCCAAACTGTAGCTGAAACTCATTGAGTTTCTCGATTACTGCCAAGCCTAATTTGAGCGGATTAGAGTCGATGGCGCCTAGGTGATCGATTGCAGGTGAAATTCGGATAGCTACTCGATCTGCACCAATTGCTTCAGCTACAGCTCGAACGATTTGCATTAAGAATTTACACCGGTTTGCCAATGATCCACCGTACTCATCTATTCGATCATTGATCCCATCTTTTAAGAACTGGTCGATTAGATATCCATGTGCTCCATGAATCTCGACCCCATCAAAACCTGCAAGTTATAATCATACTATGCAAATCAATCATTAAAACAATCACAGTGCCAATGGAAAGTGATGAGTAATAGTTAATCTAACCGGCTCGAATGGCATTGAAGGCCGCCTTGCCGTAGTGTTCGACAACCACTTCTATTTCAGAGACATCTAGAGCTCGAGGTTTCGGATAAATGCCATAAGTCGCATCAGGCATAAGAATTCTCCACCTATTTGAGATAGGCTTGTTTGACGATGATATCGGTGCCGCCCCACCAGGCTGATACACTATGGTGATCGATGATATCGAGGATTACGGTGATGGAACTGCGAAAAGGGTACCGAGGATTACGATGAAGTTACCTGAATGTGATGCTCGACCAACGTGCCAGAGTTGACAGAAAATGAGGCTTCCTTTTGCATGAACAGCATCCACAATCTTCTTCCATGCCCCCACCTGTTCTTCATTGTAGATCCCAGGAACATGTGGGAAACTGCTTCAACATTATTGCAACATTAGACAATGTTTCAAAGAACTTTAGGACTAAACTGAGTGATGGAGAAGAAAGTGGACCCTAAAAAGCACTAACAATTGCTGGAATAATGCGAATGATTCATATAAATATCGGTGCTCATTATCAGCTTAAGTTACGAAATTACCCCGCGGCAGTGTCGGATACCGATGTCCCTTCGGTGATGAGAAAGCCGCCGGGGGTCGATCTCTGCGTGTAATATTCGGCAAGCGCCGGCCTCGGAATTCCATTCAACGCCCTGCATCTCGTCATAGGAGCCAGCACCACCCTGCCATCATCAAACACAAGGTAGAAGTTAAAGAATTAGCTTTCCGTGCCTGTCTCGGCTTTGCAGAATCCGACAAGATCTCTTCCGAACATGTCTGGAAAACGAAAATTCACCGAAGACAAGGATAATCTAATCCCCTCCGAGATCACGGAAAACAGAGACAGGGATGGACAGAGACAACGACAAACCTGTGAGAAAGATTGAACTTGCCCATCTTGTAAGGAGAAAAGAGCGTTGGGGTCCCTTGAGATTGAGTTTCCGCCATTTTTACTTGATCAGATGATGAAAAAACTTAGCAAGGATTTATATGAAGAAATTTAGAGCGAGAGACTATACGCATGTGGCATAATAGGAGCTGGGGAAGTATTTATAGTTGAAAATTCTACCCTGTGATGAGTGGTGTGTTGGGCTTTGATTGGGGATCGATAATAGAGATGGAGATGGACGGAGAAGGAGCCTGTGGCGGTTATTTTTGCATGGATTTCACGTGCTGTTTTAAACAGTTGATAAAAATATGTTCCTACCGGCGGACGGCGGTGAGAGTTCCGTCGAATGTTCACGACGTTGCCGATTGATTATTTTTGAAAAGTAAACTTATATATATTATTTTTAGATATATATATATATATATTCTAGAATATAAATATATAATGTATTTCATAATTCAATTTAATAACAATTAAAATAATTTTATAATTAAATATATATATTTTATTAGTTTTAATTAAACTATTAAAATTATAAATAATTGATAAGGTTAAATTCATCGTACATAAATCTCACAAGGTAAGTAGACAAAATAGGGAAAAGTAACACCTTCCAATTATAAGTGCTAGCTCGGTCAACTTTCTTTTTAAAACTTGAGTAAACTAGGATAATCATCGCTCATTTTTTTCCTCCTACGTTTATTTTGGTAAATAAACGTTAAAATCTATCAATTTTATTACTATTAAATTTTTGAACCCTTTTTTTCATTATTATAATGAGTATCCAAATTACATCAAGAAGGATTTTGGATATCTCTAGCAATTAAATCTAACGTTATCGTGAGTAGGGATGACAAACGGACATGTCGAGTGCGGATACCTCCTCCCCTATCTTCATATTCACCTAATATTTTCAAATCCACCACCTGTCTACCACCCATGATAGGTAAATTTTTTAAATCTAGACCCTCTCACGCGTGTATATTCTCAAATCCATCCCCACAGCCACTACCCAACTGAAGACGTACCCGGTTAGACTCGCCTAACAACAACCTGAAGTTATATATAAGCAACAAACATAAAACAAAACATCCATTAAAAACATAATATTAGTCTCTAAAATTATACCTAATATTTGGTTAAATTATATGTTATATCATATACAATATTCAAATTTATAAATTAGTCTCTAAAATTATACCTAAATTCATAATGATCTAAATTTTAATGGGTATTTAGTGGGCGGATGCGGGGCGGGTAAGGTCTCAAACCCATCACCCGCCCACTACCTGCAACGATTACCATTTTTTAAATCCACAACATCTCATTAACCACTTGGAGCGGGTAATGTACGGAATCCACGAAATTGTACTCGTTTGTCATCCCTAGTCATGAGAGCGTTTTAGAACAAAAAAGTAACGAGTGAATGTGATAACCGTTTTTTTTTATCAAAATAATTACAGCTTCTTAATTAAATAGAAAGGAAAAGGTAGTATAGAGAAGTAGGATCGATCCATAGGGACTATGGTTTTTGTAATTTAGTAAAACTGTTTCTTGATTTTAGGAAAAGATAGAATTCTAGGTAAAATTGAAAATGTATAAAAAATAAATAATTATAAATTAAAAAAGAAAAATAATAAAGTAATAAATAATGAATTAAAAATAGTAATAAAGATAAAAAGGTTTTAAATTATTTAAAGAAGTATATTGAGATAAAAATTAAATAAACAAATAAATAAATTGGGATAAAGAAAACTTATAGTGAAAGCAGCATCAGACTTCAACTTTGCCTCAAATTCCTCGGATCATCGAAACATTTTTACTTCAAGATTCACGTTGGTTTACAAGGACAATTCTTCACTGCCAACTCGGATTGTGTTGTTTCAACAATAACTGATTCCGATTTCAGTTTTCTCTTAGCAAACAATTTTGCTAAGTGTGTTCTCGGAAGTTAAATATGCTTCAATAAACAAATTTTTCTTCAAACGTTAACCATAACAACATCCAGACCAATGTCGAAATCGTTTTGATTTGAAAAGTAAGCTGAGAAAACAGAGAGAAAAATCCGAAGTGATTTAAGTACCTTACAATTCTCACGTTTGGAATTGAGTATTCGCTTTAGTCTTCGACTTGAAAGAAAATTAGCTAAGCATGACCAATGTCATACTTATCATAATTGAAAACAAAATTCTAAAGAAAAATAAAGGAGTATGTGAAAATAGAGAGAAAGCTAAGAGAAAAAAATATTTTATTCTCAGATGAGAGAGATGTGTTTCTAGGCTTACCCTAAGAGAGTATTTATAGTCTTTAAATTCTTAAAAACAAAATAAAACATCTTAAATCCTAATTAAAACACTTAAAATTATTTAAACTAAAATACCTAAAACAAAAATAATATTTAAAATAATATTCTAAATCCTAATTAAAATACTAAAACCTATTTAAATTAAAATACTTAAAACAAAGATAAAATATAAAAATAATATCCTAAAACTTAATTAAAATACTAAAACCTATTTAAACTAAAATACTTAAAACAAAGATAAAATATAATATTTAAAATATTATCCTAAAACTTGAGTTTAATCTAAATCCGAATTCCATAAACGTGTGGCCAATCCATTCGTGCTTCTAAAAACACTAACTGGATCTCTAGAAGGTGATGATGTCATCGCCTTGTCGGATGTTTCATGTTTGAATTTATGTCCACTAATCCAGCTTTGATTTCAAAAAAAAATTAAAAAACTACAGAATTATGTCATTTTTGTGCAATTTCCATAATATAACGTCCTGCACAAAAATGAATCAAAACGAACAATTAAACCACAAAAACTAATGATTAAAAAGTAATTTAAAAATAAAATATTAATTAAATTAAACACTTTTCAGACTGTTATGAGAGTCAGTTTAGCAAGTTTGTCCTCAATTTTAGAACCAAGGAGCAGTGCTGGACAGAATCAGAATCATCATCTTCATTCACTAAGTTCACCGCCTAGCGATGATTTGATTGAAGGATTACCCTTTCACGGCCTTGATCCCATACAATGTGTAGACCGGTGAAAATCCTCCAAAGTTCAGCTTGCGAAGAGGATCAACAGCCAGTGGAATGTGTAAAACCTATTAACCAGTTTCCATCACAGTCCTGGGTGGACCTTCCTGCTGCACTACGCGGCGGAACGCCTGCAACAGCACCGTCTGTGTTGACGCACACCCAGTCTAACTCCGGCTTCTCCCAACTGCGTAGATCTCTGGAACTTATTATCATACGATAAGTTGCTGGTTTGGGAGTATGGTGCCCATGTCAATACAATTTGAAAAGCTGAGTCAACAGCTAAACATTCCTGAGTCAAAACAAGTGTGCACCTACGTTTCCACAACTGCCATAGCAGACAAGTAAAGAGCTTATTCCTGCAGCATCATCAACTTTGTTGTTCAACCTTCACACGGATATTACTTGAGAGCCATTCCTGTCCAAAAAGAGGAACTATCACGCCATTTCAACAGACTAATCTAATTAAAATATTTAAAAATTAATATAACTTCATATTCATGATTTGAGAACGACCGATACAATCAACTCTAAACTTTTTTATTTTTCGATAGTCAAAATTTATAATTCAATTACCCGTAATTCAGCATGTCAACTTGACCGCTTCAAAATATTCCAGTATTTTCTTCCTCGTCCGCTTAAATTAATGTTCTAGCCCTTGAAAAGCTATGACTAAATATAATTAAACAACCTATTCATTATATGTATATACCTTGTAAATATAATTGTTTGAATCTGAATTATCTAAAAGAATAACATTCTCTTTTATCCACTGACGTAATTACATTAATTCCCTCGATGATGTTGAATGAGCCGAACTTATATGAAAAAAGTAAATTCTATAACAATGATAATTTAATAAAATACATTTTTAAATAGTTTTATATTCATCCAAGATGTTATATTTCGATTAAAGTTAATTAAAAAATAATATGCTATGCTGACTTTCTTGTTTGAACTGTTATTTTAGTGTAATTGATTTTCAATGCCCAACTAGGTCAATTGCCCATAGTTCAACATATCTTCTTCATCCACTTAAAATAATGATGTAGCACTTGACCGATTATAATTAAACAACACTTGTCGAATTTTCACTTTTTGCTTATATAAATATATAATTTGAAAATAATATTTTTAACAAGTGCATAATTACTTTACTGAATGGGATTTATTAACCAAAACCCATTAATTTAAGGCATAACTTGAAATGATCACATTGCTCATAAGCCCCCTTAAATACTAGAAAATTATTTATTAATAATGGTGGAATTTTATTTTTACCCTTCCTAAAATGTTAAAATCATGATTTAGTCCTAAAAATTGTGATAGTATAAGCTAACACGACGATAAATTTTTATTTTAGTTTCTATCAAAATTTAGAATTCAAATTTGCTTCTAGATTTATTTTGAAGAGTATTATTTATGCGAATTATTATCCAACACCAATTTAATTCAATATTTTTTTTATATTTAACTATAATAATTTTCATGATAAAGTACATAAATAATTGAATGATATAATGGATATATTATCAAATATAATCCGAAAGTCCCCACCTTGTAATACACGACAACCACAAACAAAACGAACAAAGGAAAGGAAGGGGACAAGCCTTGAAGACCCTAATCATGCATGTCATGTTAGTTATTTGCCTACTTCCTCACGCCACCCTTGAAATTTTCAACCTTATTTTTCATCAGCATTTTTAACCTATAATTTAACATTAAAATATCTCATATCAAATGAAATCTCTCCCACCATTTCATTACCAACCCTAGTACCCAAAAGTGGCGCATTGAGCACCGTTTCTAAAAGAAATAATAAAAAACTGAGCTTATTAGGTAAATTAAAATGATAAAATGAACTATTACTTGATATAATCTTTTTAATAATTTAAACGAATACAGAGTAATATTTATTTAAAAAAAATAATTATTGATAATACGTATATACCGATAAACGTAACTATTTGAATCTAGATCTGATAAAAATATTATTTTTTTACCACTAAGATTAAAGATTTAAATCGAGGTTACAACTACATTTTCAGTTGTATTGTATTACGATTGT